ACTGTGGGAAAAATTACCTAAGTCAAATTGCAGTAAGAAAGATAGAAAAGAAGGTGAGATAACTGTAATACACATACAACAGCTGCTGCAAGATTTTTCTCTTGATCCAGCAAGGACAGGACAAGATGCAGGATGTACTTAAAAACATCATAAAGCAAGAGACTTACACACCAGGTAAAGGAGAAGCCTGCACACACATATGTATACATACACATAAAGCGTTTAATGTTAAAGACAGGGGAACACTGGAATCAGCTGTTGGGGAGGATTTATTCCACCACTGCTCTCTCCATCACCCGCAAATTGCTATAAATAGGCGAGACAGCTGTCTGTCAGGACCAATTGGAAGCACCCAGCCCTGCCCTGGCAGCAGACTAGCTGATTTCTCACGCTCCCTCCCACCCTTCTCTGCTGCAGCCCAGTTTAGGTGCCCACACCAGCATGCGGGAGCAGACGGACATGCCATAGCATGAGGACCTCTGCTCCAAGCTCCTTGGAAGAGACTGCTCTGAAGAAGATGAACTTGAATCATCTTAGATCAGTCTCACCAGCTAATCTGGATCATGTGGGGTAACATGCCACTCCTTAAAGATGACTCCCTGATAGCCTGCAGAGTAAAACCACTGCTTCATGAAGGCTGTCAGCCCTAATGACACATGCTGGAGGCATCCTTCTGATGCTACCTTAACATCCTCGTTATCTATAAATCTGTTAATTGCTTAATCCAGAAAACACTACTTACATTTCCAAACTTGCCCAAGTGGGGTACAGCACCATACCCCTGAACTGCAGCCCTGAGGCATGCACACAGCTGCAACTCAATCCGATCTGCCATTCAGTGTAGTTCCTATAAAGTCGCAGCAAACCCAAATGATTCAGGAAAGCGGTTTCTTCCATTTCCACCTGACTTCTCTGCATGAACCTGAGCTCAGATTTTATATGCAACATTTTTAAAAGATACTATGAACATGCACTGATCAAACTCCAGGGCTTTGCATGTTTAGGGGCAATACCAGTGCTTTAAGCTCTGCAGGTCAGCTAAGGTCAGTTTTCCCCAGGACAGTTCAGATGTTTTCCTAATTGACTCCAGTTTTGACTTTGGCTCATTCCCCAGCGTCAGATTCTTTCCTTCCCCTGATGCTCATGGGTAAAAATAGTATGAAGCCACAAGCTACCTGAAAGGGCACAGTGCTCTTTCAAGCCACCACTCATGGATCAATGTGTCTTCACACCTTAGGAGAAAACCTTGAACACAGCAATCCCAAGGATAATTTCTGGAGTCTGCCACCTTTCTCAAAGAATTAAAATAATGGAGCAGAGCTCTCAAAATAAAAATAACCTCACACGGATAATAGCTACATTTTCTTCTCTTTTCTCCTGCATCAGGTTAAGCTGTACCTGACACATCTAAGCTCTAAAACAGGTTTCTCCCCTCTTGACTATGATTTATGGGTTTCCTTTGTTTTATTAGAACAAAGGTTTTTGAAGTCTCAGTTTCAGCTGGCATAAGATATTTCCAGCAATTCTGACAGAAAAAAAAATGTATTCTAAGCAAATTACTCTAAAGCCCTTAAGACACTGACACAAAAAAAGCAATGAATTCTTAAACAGAGTTAGCTAGGGGCTGATCTAGGATTTGAAATGAATTCCAGAAGCACTGATGGAGAAAAGCTAAACACGAAAACTAGCAAAGGTAAGTAGAGCAAGGAAGACGAAGGGTCTTTCCTACAGAGATCTTCCTTAAAGTAACTGAACACTTGTTACAGGACAGCTGAAGGAGAAAAGTGTGGTGAGGAAGAAATGGTAAAGATGGAATGAAATCTGCAGAAGTGGCAGCCAGCACCTGAACATCTCAGCTTGCTGGTGAGAAGCGGAGCCTGAAAAAGAAGAGCTTGCAACAGAATGACAATACACCATCAGGGCAGGGAGACAGGTATCTTAAGTGTAATTGCTTCAACTTATATACAGGATGAGGCAAAAGGCAGAAAAGCACAGAGTAAGACCAAAGGGAGGCAGCAAAATAAGACTGGGTACCATGTTAAACACAAACATGCTAGTAGCAAAGGATCTTGTTCTTAAGCAACTCTAAGACATACACACCAGCAACACAGATGTCTTGCCCTTATTCTTACTGCTAATAAAAAATGGAAGGGTAAAAAATTAAAAATAACTAAATCCTTCCAGTCAATCAGGAAAAGCACTGGTAAATCCTGCTTACAGAGGTCCTTCTGTGCTCCCCAGAGGTACATTTGCTCCCTTATTTCATTAAGTACTAGACTGATTGAATGAAAAGCTTCAGAACTGAGATGCCAATTGTTTTCAGATGCCCACTGCCCACAGATTCAGTCAGGAACGTTTGTGCTGAAGAACGTATCTGAGGCCATTTAATAACACACCAAATGGGTGTTTGGAACTACAAATACAGAATACAAGTTTTACATACGCATCAGTAACAGACCATTTTCTATAAACATAAAGCTTGCCACAAACTGTGAGGTTCAGTACCTCTCCTACATTAATGACTCATTTAGATTAGCCAGTGACTGCGCCAAGATTTATTTCAATTAATTGATTCAGTACATTATACCAATGCCCAGATTCTTAATTGCTTCCGTTGCCAGCTGGAAATCCTCAGAGTTTAAGTTATTGCTTACAAAGAGTAAACTTCATTAGACTTCTAAACTCAGTTAATTGTATTATTGAAGTATTCTTCACCAAAGCAGAACAGAGCAGCATTAGCTACTCCTGTCATACAGTTATTTAGATGAGATACATTCCACCAAAAACAGGCAGCAGGAGCTCCTGGAGGACAGCTGAGAAAACAAGACCAATACTCACCTGCAACAGGCAGCTATGCAGCAGGTTACAAGCAAATACAGATCAAATGTGAAGATCCACCAACCCACCTCCCATCTTAGGAAGACACAAAGTCTTTCCTATCTTGCATTATACAACCACTGTTTCTTACCTATATATCTTTTCAATCCTTGACTTCTCCTCTACCTTTGTGAGGGCTTCCTTACCCCAGTACTGGTTGCTGAGGCTGCATAAACCATATACTACAGAATCAGCCTGAAATACACTGGTTTCAGGCTGCACACCACAGTTGGAAACCACCCGAGAAGTCTTGGTTTACTTCATGCTAAGTAGTGGAAAGAGTAAGTTCACATACAGGCACCACCTTATTACTCACTTTCAGCAAGGTTCAACATCATCAGAAGTACAAGAATCTTTTTTTGACATAAGAAGTTTGCGTGTTTTTAAAATATTCATGAGAGATGCAGTGCTGCTCCTCACATGGCAGTAGAGAAGAGCTGGGGCATTTACACAAGGCTTTATGGAGATGATAATAAGAAATACAAGTCAGATAAGTCTTTTCCTTTTATTACTGCTCTTCCTCATCTTCTACTTACGTACCCCAAGCATAAGATTTTTCAACTGTTTCTTGATTCAGCCTATTACATCTTTAATGCCTTAAGTGTAAGGAAAAATAATTATAAGAAAATAAAAAGAGGCAGACATCTCTTATCTTAAAAGAAAACTTCACTGACAGCCTGCAGGAAAGTATCCCTTACTGCACTCCCTAACTCAAAGGGTGATGAAGTCTCGGCTTCATTAACAAACCTTCCACGGTTAGGCAGAATATTAGCAGGCACACATTCCTCGTTAGAGTAATCTGCTATCAGAGGTACAGTAATTCTCTGCGATGCCAAAGGAGCCACACTTAGGATCTGCTGGACCCCTCAGAGGCTAACTGCAGCACAGGAGAGCTTCATATCACAACAAAAGCAAAGTTGCTTCACAGGTATCTACCTGTGCCCTGGTTACATGTATTACATATTTACCTTTTATAACTAGTTCATTATACTTACTGCTACTTACTCCAATAACTCAGGATGTAGCTACCTGAATAACCCAAGATGTCATTACAAACATTTTGTATTCACCTACACTTATTCTTAAACTCTATTAAAAAATAATCACCTACTTCACATATTGTGAAAGACAAAGGAAATTCAGAGTTCCTCATCCCTCTCTTATTTAAACACAAAGTTAAAATACCTATTTGAAGGTCTTTTTAAAACTTCTGCAGGTGTCAGTATGAAGTATTTTCTACACCAAACATATCAATTTTGTTCCTCCTCTTATTCAACAGCTGTATGCCAAGTAATTAATTAAATGAATATCATAATCCTGGATGTGCTTCCATTTTAGTTGCCGACCTTATGGATTTATTTCATGGCTTATATAGGAAAGGAATACTTCAAAGTCTGTACAATTCTATTTAGTGCTTTACAGATTTATAAAAGACAAAGGAGACAGAGTAAGGAAAGAACAAAACCAAACAATAAGAGCAAGTCAATCTGTCCAGACTGATGAGGACTGGGGAGACCACAGACCCCACTACTCCAAAGAGGCTGCCTCTCTCTTCATTATCTGATTTCTATGAGTGCTCTCAGCTGAGCAAGGTCAAGCCTGGCCACAATGCCCAAGGGCCTCCAAGGACCAGCCAAGTACACCAGGAGCCAAAAAAAAAAAAAAAAAAATCACTCCTTGAAAACACCCCTGACCTACCACTCCACATACCATTAGGAGCTCTTTGCTGCATGAAGCACCTTCATCCTGATAAAAGGCAAAGCTAACAACTAACAATTTGGCTGTTTTAAAAGCAGGGGTGAACTTCCTACAGTAGAGAGATACTAACTCTCTCTGTATCTTCGGGACAGCTATGGTCCTACATGATGTCCTACCTACTTTACAATAATGCTGAAAATGTTTTAAATGCAAAAAACCCTGCTCCCTCCTTTCCTGCCTGAAAAGGAGTGTTATTCTGGCCATCCCTCAGAGGCATTCAGGTTCTATGGATAGAGGCACTATGTAAGAGCAGATTTTTAGCAACATGCAGCATAAGATGACACTGTGCTGGATCACAGTGTTTTTCCTCAGCCTGAGCAGGTATCAAGATTGGCTAGCTCTAGGAACAGTCATCGTCTTCCTCCTACTGCATTAAAACTAGAGCCTTCTAGCCACAATACATGTGAGAAGAGAGCCAGCAATAAGTCACCTAAATATTGGAACAAAAATAAGACTTTTAAGTGTCTTTTGTTTTAGCCTATTTTCAGACTTTAATTGCAGTCACAAGCTCAAGTGACACTGCTGGTGCCATTCTGCTCCCACATTTTGAGGGAAGAGAAGGCAGTCCTCTATTTATTTCAAATGTGGCATGGGCTCAGGGTTCAGTGAGTATCACCTCAGGCAAGCACAGATACCCCTTTTCTCCCCACAGTTATGGAAACAAGTTTAGAGCCTCATAGCTCTTAAGTAGGTGTCCTCAGGCTCTGGCCCTTAAAAACAATGTAAGTCCTGCCTGCAGCTACCTTACCACCAAGGGACAGACTACCCCCTTCTGCTCCTCTGATAAGTTTTATATATGAAGCAGTCAGCAGAACACAAAGAAAATCAGAGTAGCCTCCCCGGGCCAAGCGTGCTGTGCCTAGAATCCTTCCCAGAAGCTGAAAGCACCTTTTCACCCAGCTTGGTCAACCAAACTCTCTTTGCACACCACCATAGACTCATGTAGCACCACCAAGGGGAAGCCAGGCAGCAAACCACACCAAGGGCAAACAGGACATGTGAGGACAGCTACAGAGTAAAATTCTTCAGCTCTGAGCTTTTTCACATCTCTGATTACTCGCAGTAGCAAAGCAGCTCCCCAGGAAGTCACCAACAGCCATTCCTTCCATGCAGCAGCAGAAGGACAAGCAATAATGCTTCATAAATTCTCCCGCAGATCTTAAACCCATCTCCAAGTGCAGGACTAAAGCAGCATGAGGTCTTAAAAAAAAAAAAAAAAAAAAAGAAGAAAATTACCTCTGCCAAAGAAATCTGGCACTTGCCGTCGTTGCAGTCGCCCCTATGAAAGCCGCCACCATTAGCCTACGTCTGGTCCTGGGGTGATGTGCTGTCCCATGGTAACGCCGCGAAACAGCAGACAGCCCTGCCGCAACGGGAAGAAACCGAAGGCGAAACATCCTGTCAAGTAGAACAACACATCAGCAAAGCAACAGTTCCCAGCTATGGACTCTCAGTCTGACTGTCAACCAGAAATTTGTTTGCATTTTTTTCTAATATGAGAAGTTACAGAGAGTAACTGTCACAGATGTTTATTAGCTGTTTTGAAACAGGCATGTAACCTGCCTAATAAATAGCAAATTACAACTATTACCTATGGGCATACACCTGGCTGACATACTTTGCTGTCACATCCCAGTTACTTTCTCAGCTCTCTTACAGCGTTTTTCAAATTCCGCTTCAGCTTTTCCCCAGCACACTTCATTAAGAGGAAGTATGTGCACTCTCCTGCTCAAGAGCCGAGGCATGGAATATGCAGGTAGATCTTACAAGCAACTACAGCAAATAAGAAACATTTGACCAGAGGGAAAGACACAGCTGGATTTTAAAAGGCAAATTAAAGCAAATAACAAGCAAACCTATGAAACAAATCCCAACCCAGTCATTTCAGACTTCCCTTAAGAAACCCCTACTGTTCTTAAATCACTTTTTTAGCTAGCCTGGAGCAAACCAGTTATATTCAGGTACAAGGCAAATTTCAAAGTGTCAAAACTCATAAAATACAATCCATACCCTGTTACACACAATAGTACAGAGACAAATGGGAAACCAGAGCTACAAATCTAAACATTACAATGGAGAAATCTGAACAGCAAAAATGTCACCTTACCACACACACACACCAGCTACAGAAGACAAAGCCATTTTTGCTAGCTCACAAGATCAACGGTGAAGGGTAAATGTTGCCTCTAAAAAGAAAAGGTGCTGCACCTTATTTCTAACTGATACAAATTCAATCTTCTGATCATGGGGTCAGCCTTAAAAAAAGAAATTTGGAACAGAACAGCAAAAGAAATCCCAAGGCCAGCACTGGAAGTGGAGAGCAGGCGAGCAGTGGCCCTATTTCTTTTCATTTTCTTCCCCATTCTTGCTGTTTTATGCAAATATTCCCAGACAGCAGATAACTACAGAACATAAAGTCACATCTATTGGTTTCCTTTTGCTTTTGCAACATGAGATGCCACCGCACAGTTCTGCTAAACCATTAACTTCTAACAATGAGAATCTTGGGACCATTTTGTGCAAATGTATCTTAGTATCTTACATGTGTGATGTGCTACCCTATTTCAGCTGTAACGAGTTTAATATATTACTGCCATTTTCTGCCGAATAAAGCAACATGCAGCTCAGGATTTCATATGTGAACTTAGGGAGGGGAAGAGAGGAATAGAGAGGGAAGATGCACATAACATATTCAGCAGCTCATTTTGAGGGCCAGAGCTAAATATCTTTTAATGCAGGAGGTGATGGAGATGCATCTGAAGACTTCACAGCACGATCAAGAAATATGTGGCAAGGGGAAGGAAAGCATAGATAATGAAAAATTATTAGGAAATCCCTCACCAGTGATTCTTCATTATCAGATCTAAGGCTTTTGCACTGTCCTGGGACAAGAAAGATAGAATGGAGCACCAGCAGGTGATAGCAAGGTGGGATGGAGATGGCGATACTGCTCTTGCTGAGTAGAGCAAAGCCACAGAGTGCCAATCCCTCAGCATCCTGGTTTATGGGCACATACAACAAATTCTGCTGCTCACAGCCAGCATATCTGAAGAGCATCTGTTTTATATTCATCTGTGCATATTAAACTTTGTAGTTAGCTTTATCATTTTGTTTAATTTTAAACCTATTTATTTTTAAAGGAATGAAGCTTTAATGGAACACAGCCAGCCAACAGTGCTTATTCTCCAATCTTCTCCAGCTCCGAACAATAGAAGGTTGTTATGAAAAACAGCTCTTATTTAAAACTTAAAGTAATTTCCATCCTACACAAACCTGATACTCCCATTTCATCTCTAGGGATGAATTTATTACATACACAGAGAAAAATCCACATGTGTTATTTTCACCAAGAAGCTAACGGTTGCCCTTACTTGGGTTCCCCATCCTAATTACACCTTTATATGCACAAGATATAACGGATAAGGGAACTGTTGCCAATATAATTTAATCAGTCAAAATGAAAATCAAGTCCCACAGTGCTTACTTTTGAGCTTGAAGGGATTTTTACAACATTTCAGATTGTTGGCTTTCGTACTGCATAAATGTTTGCTCTGTCTGAGCCCTAAGAAACACTGTATTATCCACTTTGTCCAAGTAATCGCTATCCCTGATGCTGGAACATTCACCCAGACAGTGCTCACTTGTTAGCAATTGCCCAAGAGAGCTGAAAGCTGGTGCTCGCTTTCAAAAAGATTAAACATAAGCATCTTGCCTGAACTGCAGCAATGAAAAGCTTAACAACATGATCTGCAGTAGTATACTGAACAAAACTGAAAGAAAGCATAAAACTCCCAAGAACCGATGTGATTACAGCCTACAATAATAAACATCTATTTTTGCATGATTTAATGCAATTCTTTTTCTTTTTTTTTTTTTTTTTTAAAGAGGATACAACAAAGTAGCTCAGAGAGGGAAAATAAAAACCCCTTAACTCCAAAATACTGAAAATAAGGATCAAACATAGAAGTTATCATGATGCTCTAGCATTACAGCTACAAGGAAACTACAGATCATATTTCTGTTTCTAAGACCTAAGCTGGTCTTAAGTTCTTGCTCAAAACAGCGCTACAGTTACTTTCAGAGGTTGAATTAATATCCTTGGACAAAAGAAATAGTTGAAGCTTTTTTCCAGAAAAGAATGACAAACTGCTTTTATTTATGCCGTAAGACGTGTTTGGGGTGTGTTGTTGTTTTTGTTTGTTTGCTTGTTTTAAGCAGAAGAGTCAACCAACAGACTTGAAGATTTAAAAACTGAAGCTTTGTTAACTGTCTGCTCCACCATTAAATATGAGCTGCTCCACAAAACCCTAATCCTCAGAGCCCAAACATTCACAAAGCTAAAAATCACAACAAAAAAAATCCACCTCAACCCCTCACCAAAAGAGATCTGACAGCCAACCCTGGTACCTGGCACGTTCTGTCCTCTTTGACACCATATTTTGGTGTCCCAGCTCCATGGTTTAAGTTGTGTTTCTGTCCCTTCTGTGTTGCTGCAGCAGCTCTCATGGCCACCACGTAAAGGCTCATAGCCCTGCTCTGTGGATACATGCAGTTGGCAAGATGGAACAGCATAAAGCTTTATGTATTTGTAATTTAGCATTAAACATGTTAGTGTCTTTGACATCCAGGAAACCCACAAACCCATTAGGAAAGTACCGCTTCCCATCCAAGACACAACGGGCATCATTCAAACTGAGGACATCCGTATTCCTTAAGAAATGCAAAAATATTTCTACAACTACATACATTCTGTCTTGATGTGGCTATTTTATTTCCCCAAACAATTCATTAACCTGTTTTGCAAAGAAATTCATACAGGCTCTCTGCTTCTTCCCTCTGCGATGTCCAGAGCACCAGCAGTCTAGCCCTGGATTTCTTCAGTGCACATACAAACTGGCAGACCACAACTCTCTTGCATCCTTTTTCAGATACTGCAATACTTGTTTTTCTAGCACCCTAATTAACTGACAGTTTCAAGACTGAAAGCACTAAGTAGTCCAGCCCAGGGAAAACAGACTTCTTCACACTGTGGGTACCCCACAGCATTGAACTTTTTGTAGTCCTTTTGGGCAATCCAGAACAGCCTCAGTTTTTAAGATGAAACACGCTATAAGCAGCTTTTTGATGTCAGAGCTGGCCTCAGTGGCACAAGCATGTGAGAGGGAGAAGAGTAACTGAATAAGCTGATGGGTGTTTAATTTTTAATCAGAGAAGGGTTCACAGGCACTTTTTATTTGAACTGTTTTACTAGGACATGGTAAGCTTGCAAATTAGTGCAGAATGTCAATTGTAAATTTAAATTAAAAATATTGTTATGTAGTAAGATATTCCCCAAAGCAATTTGCTTTTAAATGGCATTGCTTAGGTATAACGACTTCTGCAGCTGCTGGCTGAGATGGAGTCAGTGAGAACCTGAAAGAGCTTTCTAGAGCTATATGTTCACTAAAAAGCAAAGTTTGATGTTGCCAGAGCACAACAAAACATCCTAACCCAAGGTCAATCTTCTCAAGAGGATTATTGGGAAAGGGCAAGAAAAAATTGCAATGGGGAAAAAGTACAACAAATCAATCCAGTGGGAAGGAAAAGTCAAGGCACAAGGGAAAAGACAAAGAAGGAGAGAACTTTCACTATCAACACTAACATAGAGATATTTAAAATAATCTGAGATATATAAACTGGGAGTGGGGAGGGAAGAAACCTCTTAGCATCAAACCTCCCTCCACCAAAATTATTCATTTTGACTTCCCCTTCTCTCAGTTCTCCATATTTTCATTTACAAACTGATACCAGCAAGAGAGATTTGTACAAGGATAATTCAAACAAAGAGTACCCAGACGTAGATTCCAGCTACCAAGGCATCTGGATACGTTCCTTCCCCCTTCCCCAAGAAAGATGGGCTGCTCCTGCTCTTTTCCCCTCCGATCTTTCACCTTACCCAGTGCTTATTATCAAATAAAGGATTACTCACATCACTGAAGTTATTAGCTTACCAAGAGGTATAAATCAGGTTTGAGAATGAAAATGAAATCTAGCAGCAAAAGTAATTTCTTCTCAGGTATGAGATTGAGGCAATATTTAATCACATTCATTTGCTAGAGAGGGAAACCAGATTTGTTTCAGAGCATGATTCAAACTGATGAACCCACAAAGCACCAATTGATAACATGCTACTAGGTCTTTAGCAGAAACCCAAGGTATACCCTGGCAATTTCTTTCTAAATGTCACTGCAGTAAGGGTTCACCTCTTCCTAAATCCTCAGCCCTGAAAACACACACTTCCTGACTGTACACCTCTATAACTATACCCCTTATCCTCCCCTTAGGGACAATCAGTGCCATCCCTCAAATAGCCAGTATTTAGCAGTAACCTTTCATTCTGTTCTGAATGCAGCTGCTG